GTGGGAGAACTTGCACAATTGGTGGCTGACTAAATACTTTTTTGCCCCACTGTATTTAGTTACAGAGTTTGACTCTTTTCAGGCTGTTAATGGTGCATATTTCCCAGTTTTTTATAAGTTTGTGTGCATGCACACATGCAACTGAGTTCAGGCTTATTCCCAAAGGAACGTTATGTTATTGTTTTAAACCTGCATCTAGAGATTTCTCAAGTTAGTTCCTTAAGAAAAGGGGAAAAAAAACAGTAGCATATTTGTTTTCTAATGGACAGTTTGTCCACCACTAATATTTTCCTGCAGTATATAATTATGAAATATCATTAGAATTTATTCTAGGGTGCAAAGTGGTGCTAAAGCCCAATAGTTTTCGTCATTCCACCACAGAATCTACATTTGCGCCTAGAGCATACCCAGAACTTTCTTCAGTAAACAGCGACTCTGATAAATGCTCAGGGGTTCCTTGCCATGACAGAGTTCTCTAAAGCCAGAATATATTACGTATATGCTACTTGTGTAATAAATGTACATTGTAAATGTACAATGCCAGCTATTAACATCTCTCCATCATTTCTTTCTCTATTCTTTTGCAGTGGAATTGTTCAGGGGGACTTGATTTTTTCACTTCAGCAAACAGAGCGTATGTTGAAACCAGTGGATTCTCCTGAGATGGGAATGATGAAAGTACTCAACAAGAGTGATCTGGAAGATAGCAACAGCCTCTTTGAGAAACTTAAAAAGGAACCTGATGCATTAACCTATCTTGCTCCTGCTGCTGGGGACACCATAATAGCATTAGATTTCGGCAATGATGGTATGTGTATATTTAACTAAACAACAACAACAAAATTAATTATCCATAAATGCTGAGCATTTGAATTTTTTAAAGAGATGTTCTTGGTATATGCTGAATTTTAATTAAGCCCTTAAATTGTGACACAGTATTTCTTTCTTTGATTGGTGATGTCTTTTTTAATTTTTGCAGAGTCAGATGAGCAACAGTCTGATGAAGTTCCTTTGTATAATGATGTAATGCTCCCCTCATCCAGTGAGAAACTGCAGAGTATAAATTTGGCAATGTCCCCACTACCTGCCTCTGAAACAACAAAGCCACTCCGCAGCAGTGCTGACCCAGCACTCAATAGAGAGGTGGTGGCCAAACTGGAACCCAACACAGAGCCCTTAGACCTTACTTTCTCCAGCCGGCAGACCCAAGATCAACCAGCTACTCCTTCTGATGGAAGCACTAGCCAAAGCTCACCTGAGGTTTGTCATTTAATAATCTTTTGCAACTTTCCATTGTATCTGTATTAACTTTTATGCCATATCAACCTTGTATTACCATATTTTCCCGACAATAAGACGCCCCCATGTACAAGACGACCCCCACTTTTCCAACCCAAAATTAAGAAATC